TGTTGTTTTTTTTTTTTTTTTAAATTGACTAAAACAGTCTGCCTTGTGGCCGAGGCAGCAGCTCCTGCAGCTCGCTCTTATTGCCTCAGGAGGCTGTAGGGTACTTCCTACACTGTCTGCATCCCGGTACTCACGCTCTGGTGCTTGCAGAGAGATGAAGCCCCTAGCCACATGTTTCTCCGTGGATAGTCCCAGTCTCCATTGGTGCATTATCTGCAGTTGTCTAAATGTGGCATTGAAAGATTTTTCTTTTTTTGGTTTTGGTTTTCTGATACTGGGGATTGAACCCAGAGCCTTCACATCTAGCTACATCCCCAGCCCAAGTCTTGCTAAGTTGCCAGGCTGGGCTTTGAATTTGGGTTCCTCCTGCCTCCACCTCCCAGAGTACTAGAATTCCAGGTGAGCCACACCACCATACTGAGCTCTCTGGAGGGTTGTTTTTTTTTGTTTTTTTTTTTTTTTTTTGGTGGAACCAGGGATTGAACTCAGGCCCTTGCGCTTGCCAGGGAAGTGCTTATTCTACTGAGCCATCTCCCTGGCCCCCTTTAGAGGTTTTTAAGTGTGGGTGGAGTTGTGGGTCTGATCAGTGTCACTCTGGTTACTGGGTAGGGAATAGAAGGACAAGGACTGAAGTGGAGACACTAGAGAGAATGTGGCTCAGGCCATGGAAGTGGCAGGCGTGCCCAGATTCTGATGTGTTTTCGTGGTGGAGGCAATAAGGATTTGTTGATAAGTCAGATGGGACATATGAAAGAAAGGACAGTGACAAGGCTACCCCAAGGTCAGAGTACCTAGAAGAATGAGGTTCCATGGCCTGAGAGGTGGGGATCTGCAGAAGGAGCGGGGCTGGGGGTCCGGGCTCTGTCATTTTCAGGTGTAGAGTTGTGCAGGTGGCCGGATGGAGAGCTGGAAGTATGTTGGGGGCGGGGCTGGGTCACAGATGCACACCTGGAGGTCATGGTCAGGAGTGTGAGTAGGTGTGGGCGGCACTGAAGAGTAACAGAACAGCACATGGTGGAAGGCGCTAGGAAGGGCGAGGGCCTGGCAGGCGCAGGCTTCATGAAGAGCCGCTGTGCAGGCCCAGGCAGCGTGGGATCTGGGTGGGAGAGTTCAGGCCACAGGGCTGCAGCATTTGTATTTCAAGGGCCAGCAGCTAGGAACAGTGGTACTGTGGTGAGCTGATGACCCTGGCCAGCACAGGCGTGGAGCCTTAAAAACCAGTGGGCTGGCAGCTGCTAAGCAAGGACAGGGCTGAGCCCCACTGACGGAGCTGGGTTGGACAGGATGCTGTGTAGTGATCCCAAGGGACAGAGGGAACAGGCCTGCATCCCTGGGTTGGGATGGACAAGCAGCCCCTGAGTGTGAGTGGCCTCATACACTCTTTAGTCTCACCCTGTGCTGGGGCCTCAGGTGCCACCGGGACACTGTAGATTCCCTGCATGGCTTCTTGCTAAGCCCCCTGAGGGACACCTGTGTTTGCTCTGCCCTCCCCAGGTATGACGCATGAAGACATCGTTCAGGAATCCAAGAAGTACTGGCAGCAGATGGAAGCACACGCCGGGAAAGCCAGCAGCGGCTCGGTAAGGCCCTGGGGAGACCTGCTCCATAAGGGTGTCCCTGTCTCTCTCCTATGGCTTCAGTGCATTGGGCAGAACAGTTGTCTGTCAGAAGCCTGGGAAAAATTCTCAGGGGCTCTTTGCCCCAAAGTTAGCATCGTCTCATGGCCCACACTTGCTCTGCTGCCTGTGTGTGTATATCTATCCTGTGGCTATGGGTGTATGGCTTTGCTGCCACTCTGTTTTTCTTTTTTCTTTCTTTCTTTCTTTCTTTTTTTTTTTTTTTTTTTTTTGGTGGCTGGCTCAGCCCGCCCGGGGGGCAGGACTGGCGTGGCATGTGGTGCTAGGCATAGACCCGTGGGCCCTGAGCTTGCCTAAGCAGGCGCTTTAGACCACTGAGCTGTCTCCCTGCCACCACTCTGCTTTTCCGACCCACTTGAGAGTAAGTTGCACATATGATATCCTCTTAGCGCTACACACTTCCATGTGCAGATCTTAAACTGAGGACACCCTCTTATGTAACCGTAGCCCAGTACAGCATCAGGGACTTGCTCTCGCTATGCAGCCATTCAGATTTCATGAATTATGCTCAAAATTCAGGTAAGGAACTGCAGTCAGTTGTCCTAAGTCCCCTTTAACCGAGAACATCCTTGGCCTATTAGGTTATCTTTGTCTTCCATGACACTGACATTCTGAGGAGCCAGCAGTTTTGCAGAAGGCCGTCCCTGTGGGACCATGTCCCTGTGCCACAGACATGAGGCCACAAATTCTCTGGCTCACACGGCAGGAGGCAGGCACATCGCCTCCGTTTGTCCTATTCCTGGTGATAATGTGATTAAACTCTGGTAGCTTGATTAAGGCGCCTTCACTATAGAAGTTTCTCTGCCATCAAATTATATTTTGCTTTCTGTAATTATTAAATCTTTCCTGGGAGGACACTTTGAGACCATGTGAACATCCTAGAAAACTCCAACTGATGCCCACTGAGTGTAGCCTCTCCTGTCCCTCCTGATCCTTACCAGGGTCCTGCCTCTGTGAGCCATGGCATTGTGGCATTTGCAGATAGGGAAACTGAGGCTTGGAGCCTCTTAGAGACTTGCCCAGGGGCAAATCCCAGGTTCCCTGCCATGTTGTGCAGAACATACCCTGCTCCCTCCCACCTGCCCCTTTCTTGTCACCTGAGCACCTTCAGGTTCCTGCTCCTGGCCTGCTCCAGGCTACAGCATGTTGGGGCCTTACTGTGTACCAGGCCCTGCCCCACCCAATTGTCAGACGCCTGGGAAAATTCTCAGGGGCCCTTTGCGCCGAAGTTAACATTGTCTCATGGCCAACACTTGCTCTGCTGCCTCTGTGTGTGCATCTGTCCCATGGCTTGGAGCAGGCCACTGCAAAAGATAGGTGCCACCACCCTGGACTGCGAGGCCACTGTGACCATAGGTGACAGTGGGGTCACTGGCTCACAGGGGTGGTCTCAGAGACTAGGACAGTGAAAGTGTGATTCACCTCGCAGGCCTGACTGCAGTCCAGATCCCAGATGCAAGGCTCTTGTCATCTGCAGGGGTGAGGCGAAGTTGGGGGTGTCGGGCAGAAGCTGCTTGTGTCTTCTCAGTGCCCTCCCACACAGAAACATGCGTGCCTTCCCCACGCGAGGGCCCTGTCCTCATGCCGCTTCCCCGTAGTGGCCTTGGTGCCTGCTTGGCCAGACTCTTCTCATTCTGAGAATGGCAGGGGCTGGGAGACTTGTAGTCATGAAGCTTGAGGGTGGGGCTGAGCTGCCTTGTCCCCGGGACCTTGTATCACTTGCAAAGTGGGAGCAGTGCCTTTCTCTGAGTGCCTCTAGCGAGAAGTCAGAAGCAATGGCGGAACCCACCCTCTCTCCCATGGGCTCCTCCCAGTTGACCTTGTCCCTGGGATCTGTGTGCAGCATCTTGGAGCTGAGCCAGGTCTGACTTGCCTGGCACCAGGCGTTGGGACAGTCACCTGGGAGGACAGGACTCCTGCTCCAGGCCAGGCCCTGGGCTGGACAGTGCTGGTTCACAGGGTGTGGGCCACAACTCCCGTCTCCAGAGAGCTGCCGTGGCAGAAGACAGGCGCCACTACCCAGGAGGAACAAGGGCTTCCCAGAGGGGTGGACCCATACCCAAAGGTCCGTGGATGGAAGGGAGGGGTTACTAGGGGGCTTATAAAACAGCAAGTTGACCAAGGTTGCAGGGCCATCACCTTCCCCACCTTTCTGGCTACAAAAAGAAGTTTGGAGCAGAGACTGGGGAAGCAGCGTAGGGGAACAGCTGGACGTGGGGGTATGGCCAGAATCCAAGGCTGCCCAGGTGGCCTGATGACCCACCCCAGGTTTGTGGACACCTGCAGTCTACCAGAGCTGCACTCATAACCCAGGGAGCCGATCAGCACCAGGGAGCTCCTGACTCCCGGAGTTGCAGAAGGGACAGTGGAGACATGGTTCTGGGCGGGCTCCTGCAGGACAAGCACTGGAGCTGAGCTTGAGAACGCAGTTTCTAGGACAAGCTGGGTAAAGAGTGGGGAGAAAGCATTCCAGGCAGAGGGAACAGCATGTGTAGAGCAGGGTGGCTATGCCGTGGCATGCTGGGCCCTGGAAGAGGCTGCATTTTATGGAGCAGGCCCCTGCAGGAGGCAGGGCAGGCAGGGAGCAGCCAGGAAAGGAGGAAAAGTGTTCAGTCAGACCCAGCTCCAGGCCATTGGAAAGCCACTGCTTTTGGGTAGAATCAGGAAGTAGACCGGCCTGCTCTGGGCTGGGTGGCCCCCACATTCCCAAGGCTGCCTGTGTGTGAAAGACTCAGGGGCTTTGGACCTGGGGCTTCTCCAACCCCTTCACTGTCCCTCACAGGGTGCACCAAGGACTCATGGGCCCAGCACCTTCGACCTGCAGATGAAGTTCGTGTGTGGCCAGTGCTGGAGGAATGGGCAGGTGGTGGAACCTGACAAGGACCTCAAGTACTGCAGTGCCAAAGCCCGTCACTGGTGCGTGGGTGCCGGGCAGGGGCTTGGCCACAGTGGCAGCCACCTGAGTACCACAGGGAAGGAGGCCAAGACTCAGGCCCAGGCTCTCCTCAAGCAGCTCCCATCTCTCCTGCAGCTGGACCAAGGAGCGGCGGGTCCTTCTGGTGATGTCCAAGGCCAAGAGGAAATGGGTGTCGGTGAGGCCGCTACCATCCATCCGCAACTTCCCACAGCAATACGATGTGAGCGCTGGAGGTGGAGATGGCAGGGGATGGTACAGGGCTCCCCACACCCGGGCCCCCGGGACTCAGTGGTTCTCCACACCCGCCCCCCAGCTCTGCATTCATGCGCAGAACGGCCGCAAGTGCCAGTATGTGGGGAACTGTTCCTTTGCACACAGCCCTGAGGAGAGGGACATGTGGACATTCATGAAGGAGAACAAAAGTGAGTAACAGGCTCGTCCCCGCTCCTCACTGCTGGACACCCCTCCGCCCCCCCATCCCTTCCCCACCCCAGCCCCGCCCAGGCCTGGGGGCCCGTGGCTCCCAAGTCCAACAGGAATTGGGGCAGGATAGAGGGGAGCCTTCTTATCAGGCACTCTGCCCCTGTGCAGTCCTGGACATGCAGCAGACGTACGACATGTGGCTGAAGAAACACAACCCAGGGAAACCTGGGGAAGGGACCCCGATCAGCTCACGGGAAGGGGAAAAGCAGATCCAGATGCCCACAGACTATGCCGACATCATGGTAAGTCCCTGCACCGGGCAGCTGGACCGAGACGGAGCCTGAGGGGCCCAGAGGGTGGCCTGAATGGGCTGGTACCCACGATGCTGTGTCCTTAGATGGGCTACCACTGCTGGCTCTGTGGAAAGAACAGCAACAGCAAGAAGCAGTGGCAGCAGCACATCCAGTCTGAGAAGCACAAGGAGAAGGTCTTCACCTCTGACAGCGACGCCAGTGGCTGGGCCTACCGCTTCCCCATGGGCGAGTTCCGGCTTTGTGACAGGTGCCAGGGGAGGTCAGGGTGCAGGTGGCACGCAGAGCAGGATTGAGGGTGGGCTCAGACCTGCCAGGACCCCTCCTTTGCAGCCCCTCCTTTGGTCAGGTCCCAGAGAAAGCCAGGGAATCCTGTCTGGGCGAGGCTTGTGACAGGGAGGCCCTGTGGGCATCTGGGTCCCACAACACAGCGTGCAGGCAGTGAGCCTCCCACCGCCCACAGGCTGCAGAAGGGCAAGGCCTGCCCGGATGGGGACAAGTGCCGCTGCGCCCACGGCCAGGAGGAGCTCAATGAGTGGCTGGATCGGCGTGAGGTGCTGAAGCAGAAGCTGGCCAAGGCCCGCAAGGACATGCTTCTGTGCCCAAGGGATGATGACTTTGGCAAATACAACTTCCTGCTGCAAGAAGATGGAGACATTGCAAGTGCCACCCCAGAAGTTCCTGCTGCTGCCGCCACCACCACTTCCACTGCCGCTGCCACCACCACTGCGGAGTAGGGGCCAGGTCTCGGCCGTGGGCAAAATCCTGGGGTCAGGGTGGGGGTGGGGACGGAGGGCATGCTGGAAGGGCTGGGGCAGGCCAGCTGGGGGTGGGGGGTGCCCTCCCTAAGCAGCCCCCAGCCCCTGGGGTCCCTTCCATCCTCTCCACCTCCACCACCCAGGTGTGCATCCCTGGTGCACATGCTGCAGCCCCGCGTGGTCCTAGGGTCCTTGTCCTGCTCACATCTGGACAGACCCTCCCTCACCCCCACGGCTCTCCTGGTTGGGGAGGGAGGGGTCTAGCTGACCCCTCCAGCTTCAGCCTATAGCTTTAACTTCTGTCTGCTCCTAATGGGGGCCCAAAACTCAGGGCTGGGGAGCCTGGGGTCCCCACTTGAATCTGCAGCAGGAGGGTCCTTTCTCCCTCCCCCTCCCCTAAGCCCCTCTTTTGGGGGCACATCAGGACACAACAGAGGGCAGGAGGCCCCAATTAGCTTTAAAACGCAGCCTCAGGGTAGAGCCAGGATGTACCGGTCTCTTACACCCTGGGCCTCGGTTTCCCTTCTGGTTGGAGCCCTGGATATGTGCTCCCAATTCTGCCCCACTTCCTCAAAGGCTGCTAGTGTAGAGCACACATCCTCAACCTTTGGAGTGGACCCAGCCTGAGCCCCACTTTGCAGAAAGGAAAACTGAGGCCAAGCAGCAAGAGTGATCTGGCCTAGGGCCTCCAGCCCCCAGCATGAGGCAGGGCTCAGATTAAAGACAGTGGTCAGAGGACTCAGGACCGGTTATTATGGGAGCAACCGGGCTCTGGCAGAGCTGGAACAGTCTCTGAATATGGATCAGAGTGTGACTGGGCCTCAGGCAGCAACCCAGGGGCTGAGGGCTTGCCCTCGTCAGCCCCCCTGGAGGGACAGGCCCCTCCTGAGGAAGGCTGTCTGGTGGCAGCAGAGTTAGGTCCCCACACCTGCTCAGGGACAGTGGAGAGGGCAGGGTGCCGCGAGCTCAGGTTCTGCCCTTGGCACGGGGAGGAGTTGGGATGTGCGGAAGAGGGAGGCTCCACCCTGGGCTTCAGGAACACTCGGGATGGGACATAGTCCCTCTCCCAGTGACCCAAGACCCAAACATACCGTGACACCCAACTGTCCCCACCCTTCCCAATCCCAATCCTGCCAGCTGCCTAGGACCCCAGCTGACCCCCAGCCCCTGGTCCCCAGGCCCTCCCCTTGTCTGGTGTGTCTGCGTACACCCCTCCATCCCTCCTTGCGGGCAGCCCAGCCTCCCGACTCCCCAGACATTCCAGAACACCCTGTGCCGTGGGCACCAGGAGTGGGGCACCCCCAGAAGGAACCAGGGACTAAGGCTGGCAGGGCTGTGGTGGAGAGAACAGCGCAAGGATCCACAGTGCTTGTGGTGGTGTCGATGGGCACCCTGGCCAAGCTGACCCTGATCCTTCTGCCTCGGCTGCCCACCCTTGTCCCAGTAATCGTGGCATGCACCCTGCCCCTTCCCGCCCTGCCCCTCCCCCGGCAGGCCGGCACTGCAGAGTTTGGGTGCTGGCAGTGTGGCTGGCTGGAAGCCCGTGGGTGCTGGCCAGGAACGTGGATGATACTTGTCCTCCTGAGCTGTGCTGTTGCAGTCTGTCGTCACCAGCCCTGTTCTTAGTGTGTATATATGTCGCCCCGTGATGCATATATACACAGGTATTAAATATATCACTCTATATAATATTATATATGTGTGTGGTATCCAAGCAATCACTTCTAAAGAGGGCTTAAAGATAAAGCATTTGGCCAGAATATGCAGCTATCCTCATGTGACTAGGACAGAATATGGGGTCATTGAGCTGTTTTCATGGAGTTAGTGACTAGAGTGGGCTCAGCAGTTACTTGGGCCGTCTGCTGCCTGTTGGTTTCCTGGAACAACCCTGTCTAGCAGAGAAAACCAGAGGGCTCGTGGAGAGGGAATGATTTGTGGCTGTCCCCCGAGGACCAGGACAAGTTTTCATGTTGAGGCAGTTACTGCCCAGGCCCTTGGGATCTAGGGCTCCCTGGCCTGGCCAGAGCTGGATCCCCAGGGGAGAGGGGGGAGAGAGCAGGCAGCAGGGATTGGTGAGAGTTGGGGGATAAGAAATCTTTGTTAATGATGAGGTTAACTATGTCAAATGTGACCCCTCTCTAGGTCCCTGGTTAGGAGGCTCAGAGCGGGGTCTAGGGCCTATGCCCACCCCCAGTGGGCAGGGACAAGATAGCACAGCAGAACTGGGTCGGGGTGAGCTGAGGGGATGCTGCATTTCACAGCTGGACAGTAATAAATTTAATGGTCCTTTTAAAATGTCTGTGTATTAAAACTTTAAGAATACCACACTTTAATATTAAATATCATAAGGTCTAGTATCTTGATAATAATGTAGATGTTTTAATAACAATTTTTGTCCTTCTTAAAATAAAATGAAAGAAACTTGCTTCTTTTAGCCTTTGTTCTAGAAAATAAATGTGTGTACTTTGCCCCCTGACCCTTAGCTGTCACTCCTGTTCCTCTTCACCTGGCACATGTGCCCAAGCGACTCAGGCTATTCTGTAACTCATGGGGCAGAGCTGTCTTGGCACTGGCTGTGTGACAGGCAGGCATTCTGAGGGGTGGGGCACGCCTGTGTTGTGTGGCCATGGAGACCCAGCTGGCCTGGCTTAGGCAGCACCTTGGTGGTGGGGACAAACTGCTCTATACAGGAGACCTCAAGAGCCACCCTTTGTTGGTTCTTGTGCAGCCTGTGTGTTCGCTGCATGACATGGGGCTGCCTGGGACATCCACTCTCCCCTTCCTTTCCTGCACTGCCCTGGGTTCTGTGTCCTTTGTGGATGTGGCTTGTCCAGGAAGGCCAGAGGTCATGCTACTCTTTTACAATGTGATCCCAGCTCCACCCACCCTGCCCGAGGGTGGAGTGGCCAAAGAGCAGAGGGACAGGGCCCGTGAATCACCCGGAGAAGGAGGCATCTGCACCAGGTATGCAGGAGCTGCTCAGATGGCTGCTAAGTGTGGGGATGACGAGCCGAAGCAGCCAACTTCATTGGGCACCTTGTTGGCACCAGCCCCTGAGCAGAAAATATCAGTCTTGCAAGCTGCTGGCCACACAGCCCAGAGAGGCTTGGCAGATGTTCCAAGGGCCCTCAGAAAGGCAGAAAAATGATCAAGAATTGCCTGGACTGGGTATCACAAAGCTGCTGCTGGCCCTGATGTTTTGGGATCCTAGGCACCGGTCAGCACTGCGAACGAAAGCAGCACAGCAAGAGTCCCTGCAAGAAGGACACAGATGTATTGAAAAGACTGAGAGGGGCCGGGGAGATGGCTCAGTGGAATAAGCACTTCCCTGGCAAGCGCAAAGGCCTGAGTTCAATCCCCGGTTCCGCAAAAAAAAA